ATGCATTAGATCTTTTCGTGTAAGTTCTTGAGCTACTATCTTTGTACACATGACGTCCGTGAATAGCGTTCAGCTCACCATCTTCTACAAAAGATTTTAGAACAGATAAAGCAAAATATCTCCTTTGTAAAGAGGAAGGAACAAGCCCAGGCTCAGCGAATAAAACAAAATTCGCCCTCAAATTCGAATTTTCCGACGGCAGAAATCCTTCCGTCTACTCTGGAAATGGATGTTAATAAGTCGTGGCTAGTTATTGAAAAATGAATAATTAATTAAGAAACACTAACGTCGGATTCGAGATCCTCGACCCTGATTACCCTTCGGTCGACCATTAGTCGAGATCCAAGAAAATTTTCATTACTTAATTAGCTAATTAGCTAATTAGCTGATTGGAATTTCGAGAAACTAACCACGGATTCGAGATCCTCGACCCTGATTACCCTTCGGTCGACCCTTACTCGACATGCAAGAAAATTTTCATTACTTAATTAGCTAATTAGCTAATGAGCTAATTGGAATTTCGAGAAACTAACCTCGGATTCGTGATCCTCGACCCCGATTACCCTTCGGTCAACCCTTATAAGAAAATGATTTTTTCGCAAAAAAAGTGATCCCTTGTCCCAAAAAACGAAGCAAAAAGTTTTTTCGAAAAACTAACCACGGATTCGTGATCCTCGACTCCGATTACCTGTCATCAGTCATTTTCTAATGATGTCGGTTAAGTTTTCATTGATTTATGAAATGCTGCAATCTGATTGGATTATGCAAACAAACAAACAAACAAAAAACAAACAAACTTATTGCATTTTAGTGGCCTGATTTATGACGCTATAACCCTTTCTTTCAGAAAAGGGAATAACGTTTATTTCCTGATACGAATAGAGGACTGTAATCATCTACCCTATTCTCTTAATCTCTCTTTCGTAATTAAAGAATTAACGTGTAAGAGAATCATATTCGCATTCTACCAGATTTAGATTAGTCAAATGAAAACGTAAAATACAAAACGGATCAGAAGAAAATATTAGTCATAGTAAACCTTAGACCGAACCGTTCTGTATTATCTCTCTCGTAATCAGAATTCTTTTTTACGATAGAACACAATGAACTACATGGGACTTCTTTAACTAAACTGATTGATGACTATTTATTAGATATGGAAAGAATTACTCACCATTACTATCCGAATTCTCNACATGTGCTTTCTCCAGCTATTTTCATGTATAATTTGGCTTTCTCTTTCTGTCGAAAATCGAATGTGACGGAAGGAAAGAGAAGAAACTTTGTTCGATTTGTCCTATCAGTTCTAGACGAAGATAAAGGAAAAGCAAAAAATCCTCTTTCTCTTCATTCGTTGTCAGATATTCATTTTCATCCTAACTTTCGTCTTAGCTAGTCGTCTCTTGTTTCGCACTAAACTTATTCACATATTACGACTTATTATGACTTCAACTGTTCACGTAAATACAAAGTCGCTTCCACCGAACGTGTTTGATTTACAACACGAAGATTTCTACGACTTCGTCGAAATGCATGTGAGAGTTCTTCAAGCGAAAATTCTTCAATTCCAACTGATCAGTGATGCCGCCACCTTCATTGAATGTCAAGATCCAACAGAAATCCTTCAGTATAACAGTGAACGCCTCGGTGATTTAAAACAGAAAGCTTGTCTGACGACAACTAGCGGAACGTGCATTATTCTGCCAGGTATTTTGGCTTCATTTAAAATCCTGAAGAAGTGCCTTCTCAAGAAAATTGAAGAGAACAAGAAAAATAGAAACAATCCAATTAATTCTTCTACACCAACTCCGACACCAGGTGCAAGTCGTGCGAAATCAACTGATGAACACCGAAACTATATCTCAACGACTATTAATCAATGGCTTCGAGCTCATCATGATGAGCTCAACCTCAAGAAAAATGTTTCCCTTGAAGCAAATGTGGACTATCAGGTCGAATTTACGAGTACAAACAGTGGCAACGATTCAGTAGCAATCATATGCGGATGTGGTGCCAAAGCAACTTTAAGTCGTGCCAACAATACCGGATATTTTCAAGTAAGTATGCCTGTACGCCTAGACCAATATGTTTTTAGTTTGTTTAGATTTCCAATTACTACCGTCATATCGAACGGGGAAGTTGTTCGATGATACTGAAGAAGACAAATGAGAAACCTCATCAAGACACAAGTGACGAAGAAAACGACGACATTACGCGTTCGAATAGTTCCGATGTTACACCGAAATCACCATCAATCGATGTAAATCGGAGTAAAACGTCCTCTAAGAGACGTTTATCTACGTCTGGTCCTGCAACTGGTCGCCGCTCGAAACGCCGACGTTCATAGTCACAACTCACAAGCCATATGATGAACAACGATTTTATATTGCCTTTCATTTTTTATTATCGATAATTTTCGACGTTTTAATTTCATGTACTCACTGACGTGTTTTATCGATCTATTTTCGTTATTGTTGATTTGTTTTATTTCTTTCAGTGAATATAATTCATGTATTGACATTGTATTTTGCCACTTATTCAATAAATCAGATGATCTTCTAAGTACTCTCTGACACGACCATATCTTTGGAGGAAATAACTAAAAGATAAAAGCACAACATTGTTCGCCACCAAATCATTTTCAATATCAGATTAGGTAATACTTGAATACTCTTCTTCATTCACGAAGAGCACGCTGTTGTATACTGAATGAAGACGATACATGTGCTGTTTCATAAAATGAAATATCGAAAATTAAACTGTATACGACGACGATTCTGTCTTAACAATGAAAAATGTTTAAAAGGTAAAGGATTTTCAACATTATATATGTACATTGCTTTCTTCTAACTCGAATATTCCGTCTTTTCATACGTTATAATGGTTACGATGCAATTAACTAGTTACTAGGTTGTAGCGAATTTTTGAAAACATCTAACATATGTTCTGTAATAATTCATCTTTTATCAGTTATATTTTTTCTGATCAGTTTTAATTTCAGATGACCTTTCCGCTCTCAACTGACTTTCTATTTCTGTGCGGAGATTCTTTTTATGACGTTGTTAAACAATTTTGTGGCGATGAATCAGTAGAATTACTAAAATTCCAATTGATCGATACGTCAATGAGTCTGCTTGAAGTCGACGATGTCTTTTCCATTCTACAGTTCGAATCTGAACGAACCGCAACACTCAAACAAACGTTGGGTTTTCCGTGTAAGGACAAACTCGGCGATTATTCGTTTTTTGTTATGCCTGGAATTCGATTGAAACTTACCAAGTTTATTCATACACTTCGTTGTCTTCTTACATGTGCTGACCCATTAACAACTACGAAGACTTTGACAATATCATCCGATTTAATTCAAAGATATCCATTTTTGATTGACATTGTAAATTGCTGCGAATCGGACTTACTGTCTGACTTTCTGGTTGATTTTATTTCTAACATCGTTTCTAACTTAACACGAACAAAAAACTTATTTCGTTACAAGAACTCGGTCAAGGATTTCGCTACATGTCTCTACATTCTGGGAGGAAGAAACGCATACGAATTTGCACGGATTAATTTACTTGGATCTATACCTAGTTTACCTAGTCTTCGAACTGGAATTGTGTGCGAAAAGAATCATTATGTGGAAGGTGAATTTTACTTTAATCGCCTAAAGGTTTATATGGATTGCTTTAAGTGTACGTATGCATTCATTGGTGAAGATTGTACGGGTATTATACCAAGAGTGCATTATGATGTTAGCTCTAATTCTTTCATTGGATTTACGCTTCCGCTTACAGAAGGATTCCCATTAACGCGACATTTTTCTACAAACTCATTGACTGAACTTGAGTTCTGGCATAATAAAATAGATAAAGCATCTCTTCTGAATGTACATGTGGTGCAACCATTATGTCCATCGAATTCCAAGTCGGCACCATCCTTCATCCTCTCCGCCTACGGAACAAATGGAAAGTTTACTGCTCGAGATATTCTTCAGCGATGGCTGAAAATATTCGATTCTTGTTTTGAGCACAACATAAGAATATTAGGATTTTCAACTGATTGCGATCCGAGAAGTTTGAATGCAATGCGTAATGCTATGGGTTTCTTTTCAAAGTCAGAAATACAACTTGCCGAGCATCCACATCAGTTCAACATCTCGTTATTAAAAGTTAGTAAGCAATTGTTGAAATTTAGTTGCTGACTTTATTTAAAACACTTTGAAGGATTTTAATACTACAAATATATGATTAATCAGAAATGTTCCGAAGTCTACAGACTTAAGCTAGAGCAGACAGTAGCAAATATTTTAAGTAAATTCAGAAATTGTGATGTATTTGCTGTCTCTTTCCGCTAAGTTCAATGGAGTATAAAAGCGAAGTATCTTGTCGACCTACATAAAGACACACTTAGTTTTCCGCAACGCGACTTAAAAATTCATGTTTTGATTTTCTCGTTAATTTTCTATTAACTTTCCTTTTAAATGATTTTAGAATTGTTCGTGGTTTTTCCTTAAGCCAAAACAACTTTTTCTTTGTTTCCAAGATGGCGTGCATATATGTACGAAACTTCGGAATCGTCTTTTATCTCCTACTATTACATTGATAATTGGAGAGAAACATGCGAGTGTTAGTTACCTTTTGGAGCTAATAAACAATTATTCAAAACTTGATCACGCGTTAAATGTCTCTGACATACTTCAAAATGACAAACAAAATTACTCTTCTTGTGAAAAAATATCGAGCGAAAATATTCTTCGTTTCCTGAAAAACATTTCAGATTCTGAAGCATTGCAAGCATATCTTCAAGTAAGATTTTCTTGATTCCTATATTCATATAATACTGAGTAGCGATGCGATATGTTTTTGCACGCTTAAGCTATTCATAAAATACTTGAAGTTTAACGAAACTTTCTTCTTACAATTAGGTCTGAGTGATATTTAAGTTAGAGCTTCTTTTTTATCAAGTTCTATCAAATATCTGAATATTTTTCATTGTACAATAGATAATCCGGCTTGCTCGTTTGGCTTTCATTGAAAAACGAACGTCTATTATTGATCGTTTATTTTACTCATGGACTGCTGTATTTATAGTTCGTCTCTGGATTGCGTGGCTAGAATTAACAGATTATGCTGATCTTCAACGAATAATCTCGCATGTATTACCGTCCAACTCCATGAAATCTATTTCTAAACCAGCATTATTTATAACAGTGCCAGCCTTGTTCTCACTAGAATTAAATGTTCATACTTTAACATACTTAATAGTCCTTGTTGCAGAGAAAATTATAACTGAAGAAGCTCTGAATATATCGCTGTTCAATTCACAGACATGTGAAAACGTTTTTCGTGCAGCGCGATCTATGTCCGGTCCGTTCTCCACGGTAGTGAACTTTTCCATCGACGAATTTCTTCAACGTGTTGGAAAATTGAGCGCTCTTCAAACTATTAAATTCTCAGCTGATTCAGGTACAAACGGTCTTGTATTTCCGAGACATCACAAGCAATCACAACAAGCACATCAATTACCACCAGTAAACACAACGACCACTATTACAGAAAAGCTGATTGAAGAAACGGTATATAGTGCTTATCTTCAAGCTAACCGAATTCTTTCTGGTTGTAATTTATCGATTCTTAATCCTGACGGTAAAATTGTGTCATTTGAAGAAGTTAATCGATTAGCGCATCAGAAATTAACAAGATCGCAATGTAAAACATATATCAAAAGAAATACCCAATCGGATAGCGATAAACAAGAGGAAGAAGATCTCGAAGAATATTTGAGTCAGAAACGAACTAATGGGACAGACATGATGAACGATTTGGATGAAGTGATGTCAGATGATGAATTAGATAATGAAATTTTTTCTAATGTATCTAATTCAACTTTTCATGGAATGCGAATCTTTGATTCCATTTATACACATCAAAATGAATCATTTTTCCCCATGGAAGTGAATGGAGAGAAAAAGTTCATGCATAAACAAACTGCCAACTGGTATTTTTCAAAAACAAAATCTACTTTATCATCTGATCGATCGATTCGGGTTCAAAATAAGTAGGTTTCATATGTTTGTGAAACATATATGCAAAGCATTTTGTTTAATAAAAAACGAGCATTGCATTTTTCTATCATGCTATTTGGGACGATCAACTAATATTAATAATCCTTCAGTCATAATTGTATACACTACAGTTAATTTGCTATTAAAAATGCAAAAGAATGCTTTGAGATTAATACTTTCTTTAATATGTATACCATATCAGATCAGGTAAACTAGAATATATAAACCTGTCACGTATTTCATCTTCTATATGAACCAATTTACTGGCCATTGTCTCAATGATCTTATCAATTAGTAGAATAAGAAACTATCAATATTATTCATTATGACCTCTTCACGCCTAGACATAAAATAGTAATCCTATATTTCTGTGGACTGTTTCACGTGATTTTGAGGGCTGATTTAAGCGATTTTCAAATCAATTTAAGTCAGTTTTAAATCACACAAAATTCACTTAAACTCATCTTAAATCATAAAACTCACGTAAACTCATTTTAAGTCACAAAACTCAACCAAACTCATTTTGAGTCACAAAAACTCACTCAAACTCAGTTAAATCAAAAAACTCACCCAAACTCATTTTAACTCAGTAAATCAAAAATCGCCTTTTCCCCCTTGGGTTTTGTGCTTGGTAGGAATCGGAGAATGAGAAAGCAGGGGTGAATATATATTCTTTGGTGTTCGTAGAAACACAGGTGATGAGAAATAGAGCTAAAGAATCTTCCACATCGTTTGAGGTTGCATTGTGTCAGACTACTAATCGAAAATTCTACGAATAGGCATGTATAAGGGGAGGTGCTCATATGGTGAATTAGATTGAATTCTACGAATTTGAATATGATAGAATAGTTGATATCGGGTAGATATGGGCGGCAGTACATTGCGAAGCTATGTGTACTGTGTGCATGGATTGTCACAGTAGAGGATTTGGTGTGTAGACTGCCGATGACTGTTTTTGTATGATTGTCAGTAACTCCTGGATTTATGGAATACTGATTGGCTCGCGTTTTTTCAGTTTCAAGGGGAATGGTCGTTAACATAATGTGGATTATTTGGAGCTATTTTGTGCGAAAAGCGCTCAATGGGCCAAATCACTTCGTGAACCGTGCGACTAATAAAATCGATTTTTCAGGAATACTGACGAGTACAAAATAGAGTCAATGAATACTGGGATTGTTTGTAAGACAACGTAGTTGTGACCGTTTTCCTGATGAGATATATCCGAGGAATGTGAGGCGTCATTGTCGGAAGGAACCGCGTAGAAACTTGTAATGAAATCTCTTAGTACAAGTATTTTAAAGGTTATCGACATCCTCAAAAAGATTGCGCAACATACATGGGTGTATCTACAAAAAGTCGTCAGGTTTTTCCAGGAATGTCGTCCCATTCTGATGCAACTTTTATGATTTGCAAAGGTTTGAGTAGCGGTAACTTTGCCGATAAAAATTTTGTAGGTAAAAATGGAAATATTTCACTTTACTAAATACGGATGATAGCAATAGAAGCGCAGATAATTTTAAAATGATGGAACTACTTAGAGACAGTGTACATGAAATATAATTAAGAAAAACTAATTCATGGTGTCTGGAATGTTTGCTCTGCTTGATAATAAAACCGAGGAAACAGGAGGCTAGGTGTTAGCTTTCCCTTACAAGCCAACGGCTCCTGCCCACTAGATGTTGATAGGTGGAACGGAAGGTAACGGGAAAAGAGCTGATGATCTGTATCGGTTCCGTTAGTGTGTGTGTGGTTGTCCTACTTCGGAATTGGAGGAATGAATGACGTGATTCGAGGTCTTCGTGATAACGTTTATTCATAATGACGAGAGAAGAAAACAAGAAAACGACTTTTGTCGATCACAGTTCAAAGACAAGTAGCGCTCATCCTTCGGACTCGCTGACCCTTTNACACCAAAATAGTTAAATTTGCATCGGTTTTTCGAATCGATTAGTGTGTACATCCAATCCTGCACATTTTTTTACTCGTTATAATTTTCCGATCATGTATTTATGTCTGATGGTCGCTACGAACAATCATGCGATTAACCGTTCAATTTTTATCTTCGTTTACTTTTTTTGTTGTAGTTTGTTCTCGTTCACATTATCACTATTGTCTCTAAAAAAAACTTATCTGTATATTAGCTTTTCGCCTCATCTATTCGTTGGAACTCATTAATGCTTTTCCACTTGTATAGACATGTTCATATGGTTTATTCTTATTTATTTCGGAAAAATATCGAAAACGGAAAAAACCGAGACTATAAGCGGAAGATACGGAAATGAGACTAAAGAACGTCCTTTTACCGTGAATGTTTATTATCAATATTTCTTTTGTCAACATTTGTAAACTTTTCATTTCAAATATATCGATTTTCGTTAGTTTTCTGTTTTGATGCTATTGGCACATGTCAAATCACTTTTGATGAGGTATAATAAAAGAAAAAAATCTTCCTATTTTTGCTCATTTTGCATATTGTATTATTATCTTGATTGATTACACTTCTATCTCAAGCCCATTTTTAAAATCAAACGTCCGATTAAAGCTAGATAAATTCTGTCATACTAAGAAGGATGTATTTTTCTTTCAGAAAAGGGTCAGCGAATCCAAAAGATGAGCGTTACTTGTAACTACATATATCACATTAAAATGTATGGTGTAAGTGTAGGTGCAACCGTCTGGATTACACTGGTTGAAATAGTCTTCATAGGAAGAGTTAAAAACCCACTCGTCAACCATTAATTTGTTCAGTAAATCACCGACTGTAGGCAATGCAGAAGATAAGCTGTTGAGCGGTGTGGCATTATAGGGAAATGAAGTATCATTCATCAGATAGTTATTCAATTGAGTTAAACATGAAGAATTGTTCAAACAAGATAAATTTGATATTTTCACAGCTGTCAAAGGTGAGCAACTCAGATAAATGCCTGTAATTTCGAATTCAAGATCACCAACAATGATCGCAAAACACGTTAAATGTTTGTACCGAGTAATTGTCTACAGTCATTGTTTCTATCGCATGTACAGTTTTGTAGATAAATCACTGTCTGAGGGTGAAAAGTCCATTAATAATTAGTGCCATTGTCGTAGGTTACATAAAAAGTATCAATGATGTAATTTGAATTTAATTGATTGATAGCTGGACTTCCTTCTTCGATATCACTGAGAATATGTAGTGCTAACAGTAGTTGATTTTCAGTTGTCGCAATAAATACATCTCTAGCCGCATTGATCGTAGCATTAACAGATGAAAGTGAATAAACCGTTTCAGATAGTAGTGTGGTTGAGTAGAACTCGACTAATTGATCGTTGATAATTTGTGAAGCTATGTTGCACAATGTTTTCAACATTTCGAAAAATGAGTAGCCTATATAACGAAAATCGTTATATTTTTTATATTTCTTATTATTGAAGGGACGATAATTAACATAATTGAGCGATTCATCTTTGACAAAGTCACTTGAGCAAATCTGATTAAATTTGGGTGTGAACGAAACAATAAACTTATTATATTCATTTAGAATATTTGTACATGGACAAACTAGAGTATTAGGATATTTGAACTGAAGGTACTGATAGAGAGCGAAGTCTGGTCGTTCAACCTTGGCGATTTTCGAAATACTGTTCTGCGATGTGTATATCAGAAGAGCAAGGATCGACAGTAGAAGTAAAACAAAAAATATATAGGTTGAGATTTTTTGAATATTGATAGAGTCTCTCTCCTTCTTTTCATTTTCGAACAGGTTTAGACTTTGAAGTTTTTCTTTTAAACTTGTCCAGTAAGTCATTTCAAACTAAATGAAACTAAAAGGCTTTTTCTTTTACTGTACATATTCGAACAATAAAGAGGGTGTGAGGGTAAAATACAGATAACGGAACAAATTTTCACACATTACACTGCGTGAGTGGTGATGAAGCTTCTTGAAAGAGGTTGGCGCGGTTCAGTATATATGTTAACCCAGGGCGAAATCACCCCATAGGATCCTAACGGATCCCTAAACAATCCAACATCATCCAACAGTCGGATCCGACGGGATTCCGACTACAGGGCTCCATATTATATCCTTCGATTTCCGATGTATTCCGTCATCGGAAAGGCCAGGATTCCGGTGGCAGGATCCTGTCATTTCCGCCAGCTGGAACCTATCGGNCTGCAGGAAACGACTGGCTCCTTTGTTCTCGGGGAAAAGTAGATGTTGACCTTCCTCTGGGTCTCAGGAAGCATTGTGGAAAGTTTCACACCGATAGCTGATACAGGGACTGAATGCATAGCGAACAGACAGACAAACAAACTTTCTTCTTTATATATATAGATTTTCAGAAATAAGAAATGGGCAAATTTGACGTCTTATCCGCCCCCGTCCTTTGTAAATCATTTCAAAATCTTGACATCTTAATGCTTGATTCAAAAGGCGATATAGAAAACAATCTCGTGTATACCATTTAATAGCTTCTTTTGAAATACCTTCTTGTCGAAACTCTTCAATTTTTTCCAATTGATTTTTATTATCATTATAGGACTGTTGACATTCTTGAATTAATTCTTCTTTTGCTTCATTTGGTTTGGAATCACGTAATAGAATTTCATAAAACAAATGCATATACATAAAGTATTGATTTTCTTTTGATAAATCTTTGAGAGATCGCTCTTTAATATTGTAAAATGTCAAATGTGTTGAAAGATCTTCTAAAACTTGTTTCATATCATATTTCACTTTTCGTATAAGTAAATTTTTATCATCGTATATATTTCGTTCTTTTATATATTTATGAATATGATCATGATTATGATCAGTTTCATTGATATAAAGAACATAAATAAATCTAATTTGTGGAAATCCAAGAATATCCGGATGAACAAAGAGATCAGGAGAAAGTATAATAAGAAATATATGTACTTTTGATTTGATCGATGTTATATAGTTAATATATTCATTCTTATCATGGAATAATTTGAAATAATTTGTTAAATTGTTTAAATCATCATATATGTTAATAAAAGGATCATTTACTTGATTTTGAGAATTATCACTTAGACATACAACTAATAGATCGTCGTTATTGAATGTCAATGGTGTTGTGGAATTATTTTCCATTAATATTTTCTAAAGAGAAAAAAACGACTTGAAAATTCAAAACCGTTTTAATCGTCGAAAAACTCAATATTTATTTAAAATTATGCGAATACTTCTGTACGAAAAGTGAAAGAAAAGAAAAGAAACATGATATCATTAGACTTTTTCTTTTCATAAACACTCCAGCGCGAACGTTCCGGACACCGAATCCCCTAGGAACCCATTGGAAAACACCCCTTTTCCGGACCATTCAGAACAGATACTCTCCTTTCCTAACAGGACCGAATGCAAAACAACAGGAAAATGGAAGCAGTATTCCACACCGGAATTTCAGGAGCACAGAAACCGACGATTTCTGCCAAAACCCAACTCTCGCATCCCAACGGACACTTCGGTAAATCACAGTATCTCAAAAAGGAAAAACCTCACCTCAAACAACGATTAAACGTTTCCTTCCGGAATCCGTCGGAACAACGATATGGAATACACCGACTCTCTGCTAACAGAAAACTTCCTCACACAATATGGAGGTTTTCGCAGTCGGGTTCCAAACACAAACCCTCACCCCTCAGCCATACATATCCGCAAGTAGCCGCCACTAACCCATCAAAAACTAAAAAAACCGAACGAATCCCATAAACATCTATTCCCAAGAAAAAGAACTAACACTTTTCACTAGATTTTTCATTCCATTTTCATCGGATTTCAAATCCATATGATTAAAACTTCTTTTACTAGTATTAAACAGACATATCATCCTTTTCTTGCTGGATTTATCCTCGGATGGAAAATACATCATAGAATAGGTATATCAACTCATGTCACAGATAAAGATGTCCATTTTTTCATTGGAAACTTCATCTGATAATAAATCGACGAAAAAGTTGATCAAATTTGCTTAATTTGAATTATCTGTAATAATTTGTGAAGGTAAATGAATACAGGGTGTAGGTCAATGAGGGTGGATATGGGTAAGCACGATGCGTAAATAAACCACCCACACCCGCACCCTACACAACCCCTCGAAGGGTAGTCCACCTGAATTTTCAGAAAGCTCAGGTGGAGCTGGTCTGTCTGAGTCAGGTATGCTGATCAGGAAAACCATTAAAAAACCGCCTAAAACCGCGGTATTAATCGGTTTTTTGTCACCGCAGGAGTCAGACCTTTAATGTGGTTTTGAAATACCGACCGAAACCGCATTAAAGGTCTGATTCCTGCGGTGACAAAAACCGATCAATACTGCGGTTATAGAAATCGCAGTTGCAGCCGGTTTTTCTTGATTTTTTTCCCGTGGGTATAAATATATCATTCTATATCAGACTTGGTAAATGTACATCTTTCGTCGACTTGTTCCTTTTTTTTAATATTTTTATCTCTCTAAAGTATTTGTTTATTTTTAGTCTCTCTTGAAAGAAAGATTATCATATTGAGAAGACAATGAAACGCTCGTTTTTATGACATACATACAATTCAAATATACTCAGGAATATTCTACGTACTCTCGTTGTTTTTTTCTGTTTTTTCGAGTATTTTAATATATACATACGGTACATAACTAGTAACGCTCGTCGAGGCAGACTCGCTATACCCTCGACTGAACCACTGACTGAAAATACAATAGTCTTATATGCGTTTTATGCAAAAAAAGACAAATATAACTTTTGAAGGGGTCCCTAGAAACTGATCTTCGTTCGTCTCACAGTCTTCAAAAGAACCAAAATACCACTTGTGTTCCTTTTAATTATTTGATATTCCTGACTGACAATTACTCTTCACAGAAAGCAGAAGTTCGCTATAAATGACTATTATGGATTCGCACTTTTAAACATGTCCTCCTTTTTCTAAATGAAAGATAATTTCAGTAAAACCAAGTGAGACTCGGTATATATTTTGCATTCGAACGCGTCGGATTGCTGATACTTTTGTAACTAGNCCCCAAATCACGTCCATAATTAATTATGGCCTTTATTTGTGGACCAATTCCGTGAACCACAATTTCGGGAAAATGATAGTCATTCATAGTTCACCTATGCGACCTATTCGTAGATATTGAGTTTGTCCTCTCTTTGTTATGTTATGCGCGATATTTCCTATATAAGTTATGTTCAATAAAGAAACGACACGATTATGAGTATGTGTTAGATAACACAACAAACCATCATGTCGAAAGACATAGGCAATCACCCTCAAGATAATTCGTCACAAGTATGTTAAACTATCGCTGATAATACTCTCACTTACATTAGATAAGAATGTGATGTTGTTATTTCTTCATAGCCTCAAGATATATATCTTACATCTTCACAAAGACTATCTCATTCTTGTTTTAGATTTACTAATATAATTACACATGTTCTTTTATAAAGCAGTGCAGATATTTTGATATTTAACACGTTTATTTACATAAAATACAACAGAGAAAATGAAACGTTTGAAACAAAAAAAATAGTAATATTTTATATATGACACCCATTGAGAACGAGTTTCAGTCATTTGCGTCATCTATAGTTGAAATATAAAAAATATAAACTAATAGGTGAATTAGTCATCGACATTTGACGTATATATTTTTTGTTAGAAGTAAATATTATTATCAAACTTGATGAAAAAAAGTAATGACTACTGAAAAAAATTTAATATTTATAACATCAGATGAAGATTTAATTCATGAAATATCTTTAAAAAAATCTCAAAATACACATTTAATCGATTTAGACACGGGAAAACCAATAATTCCAACATTAACAAAACATGTATGGATAATAATAAAACAAAAACACATTCGAATATTCTTTCTCTTTTTGTGAATAGAAATCCAAATCAACAAATTCGATATGTATTATTTGTGGTGATCGTGCTATTGGATATAATTATAATGTTCTTTCATGTGCTTCATGTAAAGCATTTTTTCATCGATATGCTCATGAAAATCTAGTTAAGTTCAAAATAAATTCTCTTCTTTTCTTTATTTCATTTTCTATAGGAAACAATGCAATGTTTAAAAGGAAAAAACCAATGTCAAATTGATTATAAAGTCAATCGAAAATGTTTTTATTGTCGATTAAATAAATGTTTATTAATGGGTATGAGAAAAGATTTAATTCTTAATCAAAAACAAATTCAAGAAAAAAGAAAAGATTCTAAAACAATTCAATCTACTCAACAATTCAATGAAATTGATCAAGTAAATTCTTCTTTTAGAAATTTCTTTAATATTATCCTTTTTTGTATTTCGAAAGTTTTTAATGAATATCAATGAAAATGATATTAATGAAATTCTTCATGAAGATTTAATTCTTATTAATAATATCAAATCATCATTTTTATCAATTTTTGAAAATCAATATCAAAGTTTACCTGAAAGTATTGATTTCTCTACTGATGCTGCTTCAGCAATTATATCATGGGCACAATTTGATAGTGAAATAGCTCTTGAAACTATTCGATTTTTTCGTCAAATAAATCAATTTGAAAATTTACATTCTGATGATCGATTTATTTTAATTAAATATCATTTATTTTCAATTATGCTTATTCGTAAATCATTTAATTATCGACCAACAAATCTTCGGAATTCAATTGAAATTAATAAAGAAAAAGAAAGATATACACGAATGAATGCACTTTTTAATGTTTCAAATGATTTACAAAATCAAATGGATTCATTTATTTGTTTAATTATTGAATATACTGAACATGATCCAATATTATTATCAATTCTATTAATAATTTCATTATTTTCTCCAACATTATCATTAAATCTAGATGAACCATTATTTAAAGATTCATTATCGATTTATCAAGCACAAAATTTTTATATAAATATTTTATGGAATTATTTAATTCAAAATCAAAATGAAAGAATTGTTTATAAAAAATTTCTTCAATTAATAACAATTATCTTTCGAGTTCAATTAATAAGTGTAACATCTAGAAAATTTATTCGTGATTATTTAATAAGTACAAATAGTGTTCATCAAATTACAGAACTTATGCAAACTATTTTACATATTTCTTAAAATTATTTCAATAAAATCAATCGATATTTATATCATAGTTTTTAAAAGGAGAATTTTTCTCCATTTCTCAGTTAAATGAATGTGAGTACTTTTTGAAAAACTTTTGATACGAATAAGATTGAGATCTATGGTATTCACTGTTGAAAATAGCAGATGAAGATGTATCGAACTATATATAAAAAGACTTCTCCAACAACTTTTCGAAAGGTTTTAGTCAAACATCTTCAAAGAATTGTGTTTTCTTCATATCATCATAAAAAAGTGATTTTCTATCGAAATATCACCCACACACCCTCACCCTCATGGTTTTTCTTGAAGTTTTATGTAACACTATTAGAAAAATAGTTAGGAATGTCTTCATTTGCTCTTTCCAATGATGAAAACCATAGATCTCTATCTCGTTCCTGTTAAAAGTTGATCAGAAAATACTCACTGCCATTTAAGTCTGAAATGAACAATAGATGGTAGGAAAGTTTTCTACAAAGTTTACTTTCATGATTCAAGTCGTTTTGTTGTATCATAGCGGTAACTTAGGACGAATTTTTCTAATAAACTGCAGTCGTTTCTCGATGAAATCTGATAGGCTACGAATCACACGCGTTTCATTTGGAAATTGTTCTTGAAGGAACTGAAAGAAGCAGATGTAGATGTCCTTTTCTTTCCCGTCTTTTCATATGTTATTTAACCTTTTAACCCTAATTCTGATTTCGATGAATTTAATTCAAAGTAAGTTTTTACATGCAGATACTCGCGCACTCAAAAAGATATGAACGGAAAAATCATTAGCATAACTTAAAATATAAACGAATTAATATGCTGAAAACTACAGATTAGACTGAAATACGTTTCTGCAAGATACAGCTGATAGAAATTAATCGAGCGTTTTTCAAAAAGAGAATTGTATATGAACATCAATGACATTCAGGTAAACAGAAATTTTGAAAGTTAGATATTATCTTTTTCTCTCTTCTTTTTTATTACGTAAATTCAATCCGATAGCATATTCTTAAAAATAAAAAGAAATGATTAATATCAATAGATTCGTCGCCTATGATTTCACCAATATTTCATTCGAATTCAAAGATGAGTTATGATTCATAATTTTCGAATAAATTTCAAATTTTCTGGATTTATTTATTTATATAAGCAAGCAGACAATTCATGTTAATAAGAGTTTTTTTCTGAGAAGAAAGAAAATGAAATGAAATTAGTTTTTCAAAGGTGCTGAATCTGCAAATGACATATAAGCCATTTGTTCTGGATATCGATCTCCACTTATATTTGCATTTTCACAAGCTTGTCGAATTTGTAAAATATCTTCTTTAGTTAATTTAACATTTGCTGCACCGGCATTTTCTTCTAAATTTTTAATTTTAGTTGTACCTGGTATAACAATAAATTGTTCTCCTTGTGCAAGTATCCAAGCTAATGTTAATTGACCAATTGTACAAGTTTTTTTCTTTGCAATTTTATTGATTGTTTCTACTAATTGAAGATTTTTGGAAAAATTTTCTTTGGAAAATCTTGGTAATATTCGACGAACATCATTTGCTTCGAAATCATCAGGACTTTTAATTTGTCCAGTTAAGATTCCACGACCTAATGGTGAATAACATACAATAGAAATATGAAGTTCTTGACATGTTTTTAAAACACCAATTTCTTCTCTTTCAATATCTAAACTAAATGGTGAATATTCAATTTGAACAGCAGATATTGGATGAATTTTATATGCACGACGAATTGTATCACTTGAACATTCGGATAAACCAATATATTTAATTTTACCTTTTTCAACAAGTTCTTTTAAAACCATCATCGCTTCTTCAATTGGAACTTTTGAATCAATTCGATGAACATAATAAAGATCAATATAATCAAGTTGAAGACGATTTAAACTCTTTTCAATAGCTTGACGAACATATGCCGCATCATTTCGAACGCCATGTGATCCATCTGGATTCATAACACCAGCAAATTTTGTTGCAAGAAATACCTAGAAAATAGATTATTCAAATCAATGTTCGATAGTTTTAAACTAACCTTTTGACGTTGTTGTGGATATTTTTGAAGATATTTTCCTAATAAATCTTCATTATCACCATAAATATCAGCACTATCAAAATAAGTACATCCAAGTTCAATAGCTCGATCAAGAACTTTAAAACGTTCTTCATCCGATGCAGGTGTTCCATAAAATGCTGATAAACCCATTGCACCGAAACCAATTGATGCTATTTGTGGACCATTTTTACCTAAACGACGTTTAGCTACCATTTGTTCTTGTCGTCGACTACACATTTTTGCTTTGAAATTGATTGGATTGAGTTTGAAATGAATATTTTTTAATGAAATGATCTCAGTATATATATATACTTCCATACAATGCACTTAATCGAGAAAAACAATGTGAACGAATTCGTACTTTGTAGAAAAGAAAAGGGTGAACGATATCGTACGACATAGAAAACAAAAACAATGTGAACGAATTCGTACTTTACAGGAAAGAAGAAAAAAACAACGTGCACGAGGTCGTACTTTACAGGAAAGAAGAAAAAACAACGTGGACGTACTTATAGATTATAGTGACGTCATATTGTAATATATTTACGTTATGTTAAATGTTCTTGGAATTTTAAATGTATATTTTCAAGTGTTCTACCATGGGGGAGGATGCTTCCTATTCCCAAAAGTACCACATTCCTGCATTTCGTGCAATTGCATATTTAGCTAGAACGGAATCAACCTAGTGAAACATCGAAATGCACATGGAATTCGTGCAATTCCTGCATTTTGCAGCAATTCCTGCAATTGCATATATATGTACAGAAGAAGTTAGAGATAGACCTAGGGATATATCGAAATGCACGCGGAATTCCTGCACTTTGCAGCATTTCGATATATCCATAGGCTTATTCATGAGTTATTCTGTACACATATATGCAATTGCAGGAATTGCTGCAAAATGCAGGAATTGCAGGAATTCCGCGTGCATTTCGATATATCCCTAGGTCTATCTCTAACTTCTTCTGTACACATATATGGAATTGCATGAAATGCAGGAATTCCGGATGCGGTTAAGAGATGTCCGGGTTGATTCTGTTCTAGCTAAATGTGCAATTGCACGAAATGCAGGAATGTGGTACTTTTGGGAATAGGACGACTGTTCCCATGGGGATGAGCGTAAGTCCGTATGTACTCTACTACGGGGTTATGATTAGTTCCTGAACTTGGATACTGATGTACTATACTGAGACCGTGCTCGTAATTCCTCACGATTTATAGTAGAGAAAGAACGATAGATTATTGAGTTAGATCTTCTTAACGCAGTATTTCGAGTCAAAGAGAAATCTATTGTATGAAATGATAAATGTTAAAAATACATGAAAGAGATGAAGGAGAATTGAGTTTGACGTTGTTCAAGAAGTTGATAAATCCATTAAGATCTACTCGATAAGATATTTGCGTAAGATTTCCTCCTAACCACGACATATTTTTTAATAGTTTTCAAGATGTGATCTTTGTGGCTATCGATATAGGTTAAATAGATGCACTTTCAGAATACAATGAACTATTATAAAAATATCGAATTTTTCATTATTTGGATTTTTTAATAAGATAATGAAATAACTAGAGTGGAAAAAGTTCTATAAAATTATGTATAGGATATAATACTTTCCACATTTTAATCGTGAGTATAATAGAGAACACATGTTTGTCTAATTTTTTCGTATTTTAGGCTTTCTATGTAAGACATTATTGTGACAATCTATGATTGTACACTTCTTCTTTTTCCTTAAGCACTGATGATGACCTTGCTATACGTTTCTTTCCTCTTCCCTCATTCTCTCTTCATCTCTCATCTTCTTCCTCT